AAAGGGGTCGACCTGATTAAGACTTACTTGATTCCGGTCTTTTTGTATGTCAGTTATGTCTGTCTCTTGTCAGAGTCTCTCTACACGAGGGTCTACAGCTGTTTTTTTCCAGCTATTATGGGGGAAACAGGCTGAACCTCGTGAAGCGGAATGTGACCTATCGACCCAGGCGGGAGGGTGGCTTAGGAATGGTCAACCCGATCGTTTTCTTCTCTGTAATGTTCATTAAACATAATTTTGGTAACATGCTGAAAGAGAGGCCGCCTGCATGGGTAGGTTTTATTTCTGATGTGGTTTAGACCTTTTCTGAACTGTTGGGAGAGTGGCGGGCCAGTGAAAAGCCTGAGAGTCAAGCACGGTAAGCTCCCGGCTTATGTTGCCCCAAACTTGAAAATTCTTAGGCGGTGGTGTGTGACAGCGGAGGAGGTAAGATCGCTTCCTGGGAGATCTCTCAGGGAGAGGGTCGTGGCCACCGTTTTTCATGCACCTCTGGCCTTGAAGGATTGCCCAGGCCATAGTTTGCGGGAGGGTTTAAGATTGATAAACATGGAAAGGATTCCCTTGAAATTTAGGGACCAGGCCTGGCTTGCGTTCCATGGCAGGCTATATGTGAGGGGGAACTTGAAGTTCCGTTCTCTGGATGACCGTGGTTTGTCCGAGGGCGGAGTGTGGGGGTGAAATGGAATCTATGGACCATTTCTTGCTTCAGTGCCCCTTCAATATAGTGGTGTACAAAGAGGTGGGGAGGGCTCTAGACATCCCGTTCCTGCACCGCATGTCTTATGCGGAGTGGGTGTATGGGGCTTTTGAAAGACGTGGGGTTTGATTTTGACACTTTTTTTTTTTTAGTTGGTCTAGTGGTCCGATATTTCACCTGGAACGCACAGTGTCAGGACTCCCTTCGGCAGAAAGTCCTTCCTGTTCTGGTGGTGGTGAATGACATTCTTGGTGAGGTTGGGAAAATTCGGGGTCTTGAGAAAGACAGGCTGCGGCGAAGAGCCTGGATAGAGGCGTGGAGGAATATCAGGTCTGTAGTCGTAGTCTGTTGATCTCTGGGTGTGGATTCTGTTCTTTCTTTCTTCCTGTGTGTTTTACTCCCCTAGATTTGTGAAGAAGAATTTTTAAGAGAGGCTTTGTGCATCCGAAGATCTATGTTTCTTAGCCTTGGATTTATGTATTGTTACTGTTATAGTGTTATAGGTAGCGCCTGAAAGGCGCCAATATAGCTATTTAGTATAAAGCCATAAAGGCCTTTTTTTTTTTTTTTTTTTTTTGAAATTTGTGTTTGCATTTTCTTTTATGATATGTTTTCTTTCATGGTGAAGTAACCTTGTGTAATTGTATTTAAGGCCGGATGTGTGACCATGTGTTTATTTATTTTTTTGTACTTTTATAAGAAAATGTATGCTGGTTGCAAGATTTTTTTTCAATAGAAAATCTCCCACCACTATTGGCAAGTCCATTCCTGACAGTACCCCCCCTCAAGGAGCGGCCTCAGGACGCTCCAAACAGTCCTAGCTGGGCAAAATGTTCCACCGCCCGGGTCCGGTGACTGGCGGGATATCAAAGACTGGCACTTCGGGCTGGACACCGGACGGAGGCACTTCGGGCTGGACACCGGACGGAGGCACTTCGGGCTGGACACCGGACGGAGGCACTTCGGGCTGGACACCGGACGGAGGCACTTCGGGCTGGGCACCGGACTGGGCACTTCGGGCTGACGGACGGAGCACTTCGGGCTGGGCACCGGACGGAGGCACTTCGGGCTGGGCACCGGACGGAGGCACGTTGGGCTGGGCAGCGGACGGAGGCACATCAGGCTGGACGCCAGATCACCAGGCGAGCAGCGGGCACTGGGCCACCAGGCGGAGCAGCGGGCACTGGGCCACCAGGCGGAGCGGCGGGCACCGGGCCCCCAGGCGGGGGCGCGCGCGGCACCGGGCCCCCAGGCGGGGCAGGCGGGCACCGGGCCCCCAGGCGGAGCGGCGGGCACCGGACCCCCAGGCAGGGCGGCGGGCACCGGGCTCCCAGGCAGGGCGGCGGGCATCGGGCCACCAGGCGGAGCAGCAGGCACCGGGCCCCCAGGCGGAGCGGCGGGGACCGGGCAACCAGGCAGGACGGCAGGCACCGGACCATCTGGCTCGACAGCGGGCATCGGGTCACCAGGTACAACAGCGGGCACTGGGTCATCAGACATTGGATCGTCTTGCTCGACCGCGGGCACCAGGTCATCTGGCTCAACAGTGGGCATCGGGTCGCCAGGCACGACAGCGGGTATTGGGTCACCAGGCATCACAGTGGGCACTGGGTCATCAGGCATTGGATCGTCTGGCAAGACCGCGGGCTCCGAGTCGTCTGGCAAGACCGCGGGCTCCGAGTCGTCTGGCAAGACCGCGGGCTCCGAGTCATCTGGCAAGACCGCGGGCTCCGAGTCATCTGGCAAGACCGCGGGCTCCGAGTCATCTGGCAAGACCGCAGGCTCCGAGTCATCTGGCAAGACCGCGGGCTCCGAGTCATCTGGCAAGACCGCATGCCCCGAGTCAACCGGCCCGACTGTGGGCACCGAGTCGTCTGGCAAGACTGCGGGCACCGAGTCATCTGGCAAGGACTGCGGGCACCGAGTCGTCTGGCAAGACTGCGGGCACCGAGTCGTCTGGCAAGACTGCGGGCACCGAGTCGTCTGGCAAGACTGCGGGCACCGAGTCGTCTGGCAAGACTGCGGGCACCGAGTCGTCTGGCAAGACTGCGGGCACCGAGTCGTCTGGCGGAACAGCGGGCACCGAGTCGTCTGGCGGAACAGCGGGCACCGAGTCGTCTGGCAAGACTGCGGGCACCGAGTCGTCTGGCAAGACTGCGGGCACCGAGTCGTCTGGCAAGACTGCGGGCACCGAGTCGTCTGGCAAGACTGCGGGCACCGAGTCGTCTGGCGGAACAGCGGGCACCGAGTCGTCTGGCGGAACAGCGGGCACCGAGTCGTCTGGCAAGACTGCGGGCACCGAGTCGTCTGGCAAGACTGCGGGCACCGAGTCGTCTGGCAAGACTGCGGGCACCGAGTCGTCTGGCAAGACTGCGGGCACCGAGTCGTCTGGCGGAACAGCGGGCACCGAGTCGTCTGGCGGAACAGCGGGCACCGAGTCGTCTGGCAAGACTGCGGGCACCGAGTCGTCTGGCAAGACTGCGGGCACCGAGTCAACTGGCTGAACAGCGGGCACCGAGTCGTCTGGCAAGACTGCGGGCACCGAGTCGTCTGGCAAGACTGCGGGCACCGAGTCGTCTGGCAAGACTGCGGGCACCGAGTCGTCTGGCAAGACTGCGGGCACCGAGTCGTCTGGCAAGACTGCGGGCACCGAGTCGTCTGGCAAGACTGCGGGCACCGAGTCAACTGGCGGAACAGCGGGCACCGAGTCATCTGGCATAATAGGATCATCAGGCTGGATCAGTTCATCATGCTGGGTAGAGACATCAGGCTGAATGGAGACATCAGGCTGAATGGAGACATCAGGCTGAATGGAGACATCAGGCTGGGTAAAGGCATCAGGCTGAATTGTGGGCACCGAGGCACCAGGCTGCACCACGGAAGGCAGGTTCTCAGATGGGAGGCTGACCGGTTTGGATACTGGCAGGATGGTATTGGTTGGAAAGAACTTTCGCCTTTTCCTGGTTTTAGTTACCGGAGCACTGTAAGTAAGCGCAGGTTTGTAAACGGATGTAGCAGCTGGAGACAGAGAAGAGCTGGAGGATGGAACAGAGGAGGGAGCAGTTGCTACAGAGGACTTCTTTACAGGGTTGAAGAAAGGATAGGTGCAGCGAGTGGGAGCAGGGGACTGGTATGTGGTAGTTAGCAGAGTATACTGGGCCATCACTGGGGGTGCTGTCGGGGATGCAGGAAGAGTGCCTTGAGCAGAGGAATGATGTTGCAAGCCAACTGAGGCTGGGTGTAACAAATCTGTCTATGTCTGCAGTACTGGTTTAACAAAACTCAGCTTACACCTAGCCTGTCTGATCAAAGACTGCACTGCATTTATGCAATCCATAAGCACATGTGATGGACATGCTGCATAGTGCTCATGGAAACAATCTGGATCATCCTCCAACAACCATACAAGTGATTCCGCTTGATCCACACTAAATGGGGGAAAAAAGTCATCCCTGCTTTCAGGGGTACAGGACCGAGCCAACTCAGCACAAACCTGGATCAATGGCTGCACCTCAGAAAACTCTGTGCCCTGATCAACTAGATAATGAGTGATCCTTATACACTCTAGCAGTTGATCCCCAGTATACTCCTTAAGAGTCTGATAAGCATAGTCTTTGTCATCAAACACTAGCAGAGATAAATACACCACCTCATCAAGATCCATCCTTCCCAGCAACAATAAGCCAAGATGGCCTCCCTGTGCAGCCACTTCTGGTCAGGTTTGTGGCCTTGGTGTAATGTCAAGGATGCGGGTGTGACCAGAAGTGTGTGGACTGACACAGGGAAACGCAAGCTTCAGATATGGTATAAATAAGACAATTTATTAAAGACTAACAATACAAACATAAACGCAGTGCACCAAACCCCAAGCTAACACAAATACATACAACAATGTGAAACAAACCCAAACCTAAACTGATACAGATACACAGGTACATACACATATAGAGCACAACGTAGTCAGGCAGGCTGGGTCGATAACTATCGGGCAGGTAGGTACAGGAGGAGCAGGCGGAGAGAATGGTCAGGGTCACAAGCCAGGGATCAAAACAGGAGAAGTCAGCAGAGGTCAGGATCAGGCAGGGTCGGCAACAAGTCAGGCAGAAACAGAAACAGGAACAGGAACGCAGGTTACAAGATACAGGGGCCCATGGAAAAACACACACCAAGGCACAGACTGCAGGTCTGGCCATCCCTTAAATACACCTGCAATCAGCCCCAGGTGATGGCTAATTGCCAAAGTAAACCTCTGGTTGTTGTGAGCACCCGCTGGCCAGCCATGGTACTGCAGCCCACAAGGCAGGTGAGTCCCACCACTATTGGCAAGTCCATTCCTGACAAGCATGTCCTTGCTGGCAGAGGTCTCTACCCTGTCAGCTTTACTCGATGATTGCCGAGTGCCGGCCGGGAATAGCCGGCTGGGACCTGGTGATTGACATCCTTAGCAGCCAATAGCGGCACGGGTAGGATGGCACGCTCGCACACCCCCTACCCGTAAATGCAAATCACGTGTATTTATACACCACGTTCCAAATTATTATGCAAATTCTATTTGTCACAAAGATGCAATATTTTGTTTTTCAGTTTAACTCATGGATGGCATTGTGTGTCAGGGCTCTTTTGATCACTGAAAATAATCTCGGACACCTGTGATAGTTAGATTGGTCGGTGAGCCCAATTTAAGGAAAAACTATCAAAGGACGGTGTTCCACATTATTAAGCAGAGCACCATTTTTAAGCAATATGTGGAAGAAAAAGGATCTCTCTGCTGCCGAAAAGAGTGAAATAGTTCAATGCCTTGGACAAGGTATGAAAACATTAGATATTTCATGAAAAATTAAGCGTGATCATCGCACTATTAAGAGATTTGTGGCTGATTCAGAGCACAGACGGGTTGGTGCTGATAAAGGCACATTGAGGAAGATTTCTGCCAGATCCATGCATCAGATCAAGAGAGAAGCTGCTAAAATACCATTACATAGCAGCAAACAGATATTTGAAGCGGCTGGTGCCTCTGGAGTCCCACGGACATCAAGGTGCAGAGTCCTCCATAGTCTTGCAGCTGTGCATAAACCTTCTATTCGGCCACCACTAACCAATGCTCACAAGCAGAAACGGCTGCATTCGGCAGAAAAATACATGAAGACTAATTTTCAAACAGTCCTGTTCATTGATGAGTGCCGTACAACCCTGGATGGTCCAGATGGACAGAGTAGTGGATGGTTGGTGGACTGCCACCCTGTTCCAACAAGGCTGCGACGTCGGCAAGGCGGTGGTGGAGTCATATTTTGGGCCGGAATCATGGGAACAGAGCGGGTCAGCCCCTTTAGAGCCCCCGAAGGTGTAAAGATGACCTCTGCAAAGTATGTGGAGTTTATGACTGATCACTTTCTTCCCTGGTAGAGAAGGAAGAACTATGTTTTCTGTAATAAAATCATCTTCATGCATGACAATGCACCATCTCATGCTGCAAAGAATACCTCTGCATCAATGGCTGCTATGGGGATAAAAGGAGAAAAAAGTCATGGTGTGGCCTCCATCCTCCCCTGACCTCAATCCTATTGAGAACCTTTGGAGCATCCTCAAGCAAAAGATCTATGAAGGTGGGAGGAAGTTTACATCCAAACAGCAGCTCTGGGAGGCTATTCTGACATCTTGCAAACAAATTCAAGCAGAAAACTGTCCAAAAACTCACAAGTTCAATGGATGCAAGACTTGTGAAGCTGCTATCAAATAAGGGGTCCTATGTTGTAATGTGATCTGTTAAAATGTTTAAAAAGTTAAAATGTTGTTAAAAGTTTGATTGAAATAGCTTTTGATTTCAGTAAATATGCTGCAAACACAACAAATGACAATTTTCAGTTCTTTACAACCTATAAAGTGTTTTGAAACTTACTGTGCGTAATAATTTGGAACAGTGCATTGTAAGTTTTTTATGTTTAAAAAAAATCCTGTTATCATTAGGAGGTTTGTCAAATAAAATTTGAATTGTACTCTTAATAGTTGATAACATGAGAATTATGCTGACTGTTATTTACATCAATTATTTAGGTAAATGAGAAAAATATAATTTGCATAATAATTTGGAACACGGGGTGTGTGTGTGTATGTATATATATATATATATATATATATATATATATGCATTTGATTTTGCGCAACCCTACAGTACTGCTATAGGGCGGCGGGCAAGTGGTTAATATTACCAGCCCATACCAGTACCCCACCTTCACCTTGCTGGCGTCTGAGTCAAAGTGGAGCTCTGTGCCCATTACTGATCCAGCCACAGGCCAATCCATCTGGTCCGTAAAATTTCACTCTCATCTCATCAGTCCATAAACCTTTGAAAAATCTGTCTTCATATGTTTTTTGGCCCAGTCTTGACGCTTCAACTTATTTGGCTTGTTCAGTGGTGGTTGGGTTTTAGCCTACCTTACTTTGGCCATGTCTCTGAGTACTGGGCACTCCAGGTAGGCTGCAGTTCTGTAATATGACAGCACTGGAGGATAATGGGTTCCTGGTAGCTTCACATATCATTTGTCTCAAATCTTTGGCAGTTCATTTGCGTCTTTTTTTCCCCAACACGTTTCCTGTGACCCTGTTGGCTATCTGCAAGAAAACGTTTGATGGTTCTATGATCAAATCCCAATATCTTAGCAATTTCAAGAGTGCTGCATCCCTCTGAAAGACTTTTTTTTACAATTTTTGACTTTTCAGAGTCAGTTAAATTGCTTTTTTTTGCCATTTTGCCTGAGGAAAAGAAGCTGCCTAATAATTATGCACACCTTGATATAGGGTGTTGATCTCCTTGGGCCCCACCCTCCCTCATTACACAAATACACATAACCTGATATGCCTTAATTCAATAAGCATTCAATTTTTTAAAGCTAGGAGTTGGAAAATATGCATAAAAATGATGATTTGGTCAAAATACTCACTTGCCTAATAATTGTGCACACAGTGTATGTCTGCAACCCCACTAGAGAGTTTTATCTTTGTTTGGTGCTGGAGACCATTCTCACAGAGATGAAAAGTCAGGAAAAAAACTGAAAATTTCCTATCAAATACTTGCCGTAATTTTTCTTTCGTGATGGACTCCATGACAACATATGTATGAGTTTAGCCCTGCCTTCTCCAATCCTATAGGACCCCACTTCCATAGACTTCATGGTCCTCAATCGACACCTTTATGGCTCATTATTGTGTAAAACCTGTTTCCTGCTTCTCTGTTAAATTTGGTATGCGAGTCCTGTCCATTGACAGTCAAATTAAAACGTTTTTGTTCAGAAACTGCCCGCCTGTGTGTAATCCATCAGAAAAGGAAAATTACAGTAATCTTTGGATAGGAAATTTTCCATTTTCCTGATAGACTCTATGGCAGCATACTTATGGGAAATAACTAACCGTACACACACAGGCGGCGGGCAGTTGCTGAACAAAAAAGTTTCAATTTGACCGTCAACAGACAGGACTTGCAAACCAAATTTAACAGAGAAGCAGGAAACAGGTTTTACACAATAATGAGCCATAAAGGTGTCGATTGAGGACCATGAAGTTTATGGAACAGAGCAGGAATTACACAATAATGAGCCATACAGGTGTTGATCGAGGACCATGAAATCGCTCTAAAAATCATCTCAGGGGCAACATGTGCAAAGCCGCCCATTACGTGGACACAATCCTGTTTGAGTGTACAGTCACCGCCTCCAGAGCTGCCAAGTACTTAGCTCTGTAGGCCACCTGGACGATCTGAACGATCCACGCTGCAATTGTTCTGGATGAGGCATGTTCTCCCTTTTTCTTTCCATGAAAGAGAACAGACAATCAGACAGTTGAAAGGGAGCTGTGGCTTGCAGATACAGCTGTAGGGTTTCCCCCCACATCCAGTGGGTGTATGTTGGTATTCCCAGAGGTTCTGAATGTTGGTAGAACAATCTCCTGGTTCTCATGAAAGACTGAAGTTATCTTAGGATATATATCATGCATAGGTATGAGTACCACCCGATCTGGGAAGAATGTTAAGAACGGTTCTTTACATCCGAGGGCTCCAATTTTGGAGACTCTTTTGGCCAACATGATAGCCACGAGAAAGGAAAACTTAATGGAAAGCTCTTTGATTATGGCTGGCCTTGTATTCTTTATCTCAACTTCCTAAAGAAAACTCAGGACAAGAGGAAGCTCCTACTTGGGGAATCTTGGCTTTCTCTGAGGTCTCATCCACACCACTCCTCTGAAGAACTGACACACAAGAGAGTGTCTGATCCATGACGCCCTGGTGAAAACAGATACAGCTGACACCTGTACTCTGAGGGAGCTAACCGATACAGTGAGGTCTAAACCTGTTTGCAAGAAACCCAGGATATCCTAAACCATTAGCTGACATATAGTTACATAGTTATTCTGGCTGACAAAAGTCCATCTAGTTCAACCATGAAAAAAAAAAAAAAAAGTTATAATCCTATACCCAAAGTTGATCCAGAGGAAGGCAAAAAAAAACCCAGCAAAGCATGATTCAATTTTCTCCTTCAGGGGAAACAAAATCCTTCCTGATCCCCCGAGAGGCAATAGGATATTCCCTGGATCGACATTACCTATAAATGTTAGTATCCAGGTATATTATGTGTATCTAGGAAAGAATCCAGGCCTTTTATAAATAAATCTACTGAGCTGGACAAAACCAACTCTTGAGGGAATCTATTCCACATTTTCACAGCTCTTACTGTGAAGAAACCTTTCCGTATTTGGAGATTAAATCTCTTTTCCTCCAGACGTAAAGAGTGCCCCCTTGTCCTCTGTGATGACCTACACTGAGTTCACTATATGAACCACTGATGTATTTATACATGTTGATCATATTCCCCCTTAATCTCCTCTTCTCAAGAGAGAAATTCAATTCCTTGTGGGTACTCATTCTCCTGGTATTCATCAGAGTAGGGATGACTTCAACAGAACAGCTTAGTGCGTCCAGTCTCCACCAGGCCATCAGATGAAGCTAAGCTGGGCAAGGATGCAGAGTTGCCCCCCTGCGAAAGAAGTTCTTGTTTGAAAGGCAGAAGAACTGGATCCCAAAAGCTGAGCTGCGTTAGCAAGGAAAATTATTGCCTGTTTGGCCAGTACAGAATTACAACCACTATTTCCACCTCTTCTGCCCTGAGTCTTCGAAGAAACCTGAGGATGACTGGAACCAGGGGAAACGCATAAGCCTTACAAAACCTCCTCTGATTCATCAGGGCATCTATCCTAAAAACTTGGAGATAACGATTCCTTGTGTAATACTTCTCTAGTTTGTTGTTGCACAGAGAGGCAAACTTCTGGGTTTCCAAGGGTCATAAATCCAATTGAAGACTTCCACATGGAGAGACCCCTCATTGTCTAATCGGACTCTGAATAGAAAATCAGCTTGAGA